CTTTTCTTGCGCGATGCGCCGCGCCAGTCTGAGCTTCTTGCCGAGGCCGACAAGCTCCCTTCCCTCCTTTTGACCGAGCGCCACCTCTGCGATCTCGAGCTGATTCTCAACGGCGGCTTCTCTCCCCTCGAAGGTACGTCGTGTTTACTGCCCGGGCTACTACTGCTTCCTGCTGGCTGCTGCTGCGGCGGCGGCGGCGGCGGCGGCTGGCCCCCCTCCTGCATCCGTTGCGCGACGACGGTGGTGGGGTTGCGTTGCGGAAGTGACCCCGCCATGATTTTTTTTGGAGGGGCAAAGTTCCCCACGATTACGTTGCTCGCCCGAGAACAGCGGGACTGACTGTGGTGGCATCTCTACAGGTTTCATGACCGAGAAGGACTACAATGGGTACGTTGAAGATGCGAACAAAATATTCCTGAGAAGATATTATACTGGGTGCTAACATGCTTGGTGCAGAGTCGTCAAGGACAACCGTCTCGCTGATGGCAACCTTTTCTCCATGCCCATCACCCTCGATGTCTCTCAGCAGCAGATCGACACCCTTTCTATCAAGCCCGGTGCGCGCATCACCCTCCGCGACCTCAGAGACGACCGCAACCTGGCTATCCTCACCGTTGAGGATGTCTACAAGCCCGACAGGTAGGTTTCAACATGTCCACAGGGAAGTGGCCTGAACTGACGTGTTTCTCTAGAGTCAAGGAGGCCATTGAGGTCTTTGGCAGCGATGACGACACCCACCCCGGTGTGAAGCACCTCTTCAACAACACCAGCGACTTCTACGTTGGTGGTAAGCTCGAGGCTATCCAGCGTCTTGCCCACTACGACTTCCTCGACCTCAGATGTAAGTCTATCGAGCTCTTGATTCGCACCAAGGTGGCAAGTCTAGAATATGGCGACTAACGAGTACCCATAGTCACTCCCGCCGAGTTGAGACAGCACTTCGAGAAGCTCGGCTGGAACAAGGTCGTCGCTTTCCAGACTCGCAACCCCATGCACCGCGCCCACAGAGAGCTCACTGTCCGCGCCGCCCGCTCCCAACAAGCCAACGTCCTCATCCACCCCGTCGTCGGCATGACCAAGCCCGGTGACATTGACCACTTCACCCGTGTCCGTGTCTACAAGGCCCTCCTCCCTAGATACCCCAACGGCATGGCCGCCCTGGCCCTGCTGCCCCTGGCCATGCGCATGGGTGGTCCCCGCGAGGCCATCTGGCACGCCATCATCCGCAAGAACCACGGCGCCACGCACTTCATTGTCGGCCGCGACCACGCCGGCCCCGGCAAGAACAAGAACGGCAAGGACCACTACGGCCCGTACGACGCCCAGGTCGCCGTTCAGAAGTACTCTGACGAGCTCGGTATCACCATGGTCGAGTTCCAGGAGATGATTTACATCCCCGACCGCGACGAGTACCAGCCCGCCAACGAGATCGCCCCCGGCACTCACACCGCCAACATCTCCGGCACTGAGCTCCGCAACCGCCTTAAGACCGGCAAGGAGATCCCCGCGTGGTTCTCCTACCCCGAGGTCGTCAAGGTCCTGCGCGAGCAGAACCCCCTCCCCGCCCAAAAGGGCTTCACCATCTTCCTCACCGGCCTGCTCAACAGCGGAAAGGACCAGATCGCAAAGGCTCTCCAGGTCACCCTCAACCAGGGTGGTGGCCGCTCCGTCTCGCTCCTCCTCGGCGAGACGGTCCGCCACGAGCTCTCCTCCGAGCTCGGCTTCAGCCGCGAGGACCGCGACAAGAACGTCGGCCGCATCGCCTTTGTCGCCTCAGAGCTCACCCGCGCCGGTGCCGCCGTCATCGCCGCCCCCATCGCTCCATTCGACGAGGCCCGCCAAAAGGCCCGCGAACTGGTCGAAAAGGCCGGCCCCTTCTTCCTCGTGCACGTCGCTACCCCCCTCGAGTACGCCGAGAAGACGGACAAGCGCGGCATCTACGCCAAAGCGCGCAACGGCGACATCAAGGGCTTCACCGGTGTCGACGACCCATACGAGGCGCCCGCCAAGGCTGACCTCGTCGTCAACCTCGAGCAGCAGACGGTCCGCTCCATTGTCCACCAGATTGTCCTGCTCCTCGAGAGCCAGGGTCTCCTGGACCGTTTGTAAATGTTTTTCTTACAGGCATTTTACAGAGCGGATATAAGTTGTGATTTATACGGCATAGAGCGTAAATGCGCGTAGACCCCCTCTTCTCAAAGCGCAAAAACATTTGGGTGGATGGATATATATATCGGAGTTGAGACCTTCAAAGACAACCTTGGGATAAGAAAAGTTGTTTGATGATTTTTACGAGTTATTTTACACAAGAGATGGTTTATATGGCATCATATAGTTGGCTAGGGGGTGTAGGGGTTAACTGTGTCTTTTGGATAGCACTGTTCACCAAAGTATAGCCGAATGGAATGGAACGACATTTGAATGATACTGCTCCGTGGGATCGAATACCAGATAGCTATGGTGGTGAAACGAAACGAGGACATATCCAACGTGACGATTACAGAAGAACATATGTTTACATTAAACACAATCAATCGAGATCAAGTAGCTACTTACCTACTTTACCTTGCCTTACCTAGGACCTCGAACAACTCTCGGATAAAGGCATACAATACAGGTGATGGTGGGTTGATTGATAATGATGGTGGTGCGCACGAGATGCATGGCCGGGGCGCTTAGCGCTGGGCGGGGCGGTGATTGGCAGCGGTTCGTTTTGTTGGTGCCCGATGGACGGCCGGGTTTGCGCGCGCATTCGGGGCAAGGGGAAGGGAGGGTATCAACACATGGTCGAGGTGGATTAGATTGGAGGGTTCAAGAGGGAGGGGTAAGGTTGGGCCAGGGTGGGTTTATTTTTGGGAAGTAAGGTATTTCACTCTGTGTAGGTAGGTACTTGAGAATGTGTAAGTTGGTCCATCGTCGAGTTTGTTTGATGGGAAGTGTAGCGAACCTACCTAGTGCGTACGTTAAGTGCTGGTGCCAAATGTAAGGTCAGGAAATAGGTACATGTAGGTCTAGTCAGGTACGTGAGACATGTGCATTTCAATGTGAGGCAGTTTTGTGTCTCTATGGGCTTGATCGTTTGCTTTCCGAGATGTGAAGCGAGAGACAATCATGAAGGAAGGAAAGCGAGGTGCCTCGAGACAAACTCGGTTGATAGAATCCCGTTTTGACCGCTCTTGCTCGAGGTTATCCGAGACTATATATGACGGGCGACTTAGGTAGAGAGAGTGGTTGGACATTCGAGCAGTGCTTGGCCCGAGACAGTGCAGCCGCCTTTGGTTTATCTGGTTTGTATGAGCCAGGCACGTCAGGCGCGACGCCAGAATCCTTTAGGAACGCGCTGGTGTACTCTATAATCTATTCGCAAGGTGCTAAGGTAAGGTAGGCAGATCATATCAGTGTTTAAAAATCCTTGGGAGCTGATGGTTCAAGATTGAAGAGGATGTCACACCGTGCGATACTGAGCTCTCGTTAGCTTTTGAAACGGTGCTTTTTTGCCGTTTCACACGCTTATTGCACACCGTGTGAAGAAACGTTGTCTGACGGCAGGATATGTAGTGGTGGGTGTGGCCCGAGCTTCTGGCAGTGTCCGTTGTGGATCCCAAGGGACTTCCCACGGTATCATGCGCCAACTCGTTGCAACTCAGCCCGGTGCCACGTCAGGTTCTGGCCACAGGTCTGCAGGTCTACATCCTCTCTCACCAAATCGCTCATTCAACACTTCCGTCCAGACATCCGTACTGAATAATGCGTTGCAGAAGGACATGTGTCACCGCCTGCTCTAATTCACTCTTCGCCTGCCTTCCCTTGACATCTATTTCCCCGTTATTCTTCTCCACCCCCTCCTCTGCTTTTGACACTATGAGGCACGCAAGAAGCGGTAGCGTACGGATCCAATATTCATAGATGCAGTACTCCCTACCCAAGGTAAGGTAAAGATGGTGGAAAGGTACCTGCCTCTCAAGTGTGGGCCCGCCCAGCCAGCCTACGGATACCTGTACCCAAAGTACCAACGTGCCAACCAACTCGCCCAGTTAGTTCCTTCCAACGCCTTACAGGGGTGGTGCTTCCCCTCTGATCGAATCACATTCGGCTGCGTTGCTCGTCAACTGCTTGCAACCGCCCGTCTTTCCACTCCCGTCTCCCACACACCTGTACGGACTACGGAGTACCTACTCTGTACACTACACTACCTTAGACTCATCCCTCCCGCCTGGCCTTGGCCTGCCCATGACTGTGAGGTGCACCTCAGTGCACCTCACTCATTCACTCCCTCGGTTGGGGGCATCCATCTTCCGTCTCGTCACTTACTTCTCTCGTCCTTCTTGCATCATTTTCCATTCTCCCACGACCCGACGAAGACGACACCGACGACAACTCGAAAAGTTTAACCGCATTCCTGACGCTCCAAACATTAGACGCAGCAAACGACGGGCCAAACGGATTCTTCCCCCGCCACCTTACCGTTCGGTCCAAGTCAGGGGTGCGCATTTTTCCAGAAATTCCCCAGTTTTGTGACAACTCCCGCCCTCTTGCTCAAGACGACGAGGGTCGGTGAGCAAAACCCCAGACCAGGTCCTGCCTGCTTCGGTTCCCTCTTCCTTCTTCCCGCCAGGCTTTCTCGACAACCAAGAACGAAGAACTCAAACACTGAACCATTCCACCCTGAACCTCGAACGACGGTCCGCTTTGCCTTTTTGGCGAACAGAAACCTTCCTGCCCACCCTCTTTGGCAAGCTTCGCTGTCGCTCACTACTACAGTGCTTTGCTTCTTACTCGCTGCGCCGACGGCATTTCGCCTCGATCCCGTCACCGTCACCGTCACCGTCACCGTCAACCTCTCTACTACCTTACGACTCGAAGAAATCCCCGCAGCACAGCAACTCGCCTAGCTCTATCGGGCTACGCACCCATGCTCCGCCATGTCCTCCCAAGATCGTGACGTCGAGGTCGATGTCGACGCTGATGGCCGAGTAGTCCCCCTCCCCGACTTTGGGGACATGCGCCCGCGCAAGGAGGCCGAGAAGAGTGAAAAGACCGAGAAGAAGGCCTCTCGAAGCAAATCAGAGCGTAGCAGCAGGACAGACAGAGAAAAGGGAGACAGGGAACACCGATCCCACCGCGTGAGCTCCCGCTCCTCAAAATCGAAAATCGCCGACGGCAGCGGCCTCGGCAGTGATCTCCATTCCCACTCCCACCGCCGTCACCGCACCCGCGAAGAACGAGACCGCGACCGAGAGAGAGACCGCGCCCACGATCGCTCCTCTTCCATGACCGACCTCATTCCCGAAATGTCTCGGACCTCGCTGACTGGTCCGGCGTCGACTGACCGCATCTCCCTTCCCTACCCGACCTTCAGCAAGGCCCACAGCAAGGAAGCCGTCCGCAATAGTCGCGAGGATGTATCAGGATCAGGCGTCGGCGCCACAAGGAGGGCCGATCCGTTCACTCCCGAAGCCACAGATCTGGGCGACAGCGAGCTCAAGCGATCTCAGAGCGTCGATCACTCCGAGAAGCAGCGCAGAAGTTCGTCCAAGAAGGAGTCGAGGCCGCCTAGTCCGCCCGAGACCGACTTGTCGGGCAAGAGACGATCCGCGACGCCCGAGGAGTCCTCAAAGAAGGTGCGCGAGGAGCGTTCGAGTTCGAGACTGAGTGGTGAGACATCCAAGAGAGAACGGGATGACAGGCCGAGCTCGCGTCTTAGCGGTCTGTCGAGATCCGGCTCCAGAGCCGACGATAAGTCCCGGGTGAGCTTCAAGTCGAAGACTAGCAGTCAGGCAACGTACGTAAAGTCGCCGGCGTTTCCACTCGGTGTGCAGGAAAGCTTGAACATCAAGCCGAGCACGTCCAGGTCTTCCTCGAAGCGAAGCTCTTCGAGCAAGAAAAGCCGGCGCCCAGAGTATCACGATGGCGACTCATCTCCCGAAAGTCTGCAGGACTCATCTCCTAGAACCCCCACGCAAGCACCGCCATTCCCACCGCCTTTCGCTATGAGCGACAAGCCCCCGGGGCCTCCTCCACAGGTCTACCCCGAAAACGACATCACTCCATCGGCCACTCCAATGACTGATATGCCTCCTCCAACGGGGCCTCCCCCTCCCCCGCCACCACCTCCAGCGTTGGATGTGCAGGAAGCACCACGGGTGGACTACCTCTTACAGAACGGCGGCCTGATCCAGTCAATTCCGAAAACGTTTCTCTCTGTTCTGCCTCGCCAGAATGGCGCCCGGCCATCTAACCCGCCCCTGGTTGGCCCGCAGACTCTATTCGCACCCTTTTTCAACCTCCTGGACCAGTATAACTCGGTTCTCAGCCGCAACGGCTCCGTAGCAGTTGCAACTGGTCATCGATCAGTAGCTCGCCGTCTTCTAGACCGCCTTGAAAACGTCTTTTCCAGAGAGCTTCCTGAGCATGGATGCACTTGTGTGGTATGTGAAAGAGGCCCCGATATTCAACATCGTGGCCTCGGCTGGGGAGAGGTCCTCGAATGGGTTAGTGGTCGCATTGATCTTCCGCAGTGGCCGCCGTTTGATCTGGCCAGCTTGGGATCCAATGCCGCCGAAGTGTCAGCAGAGCTGCCACCGCGGCCTGACTCGCCAGTCAAGATCGATCCTGATATTGCCGAGGAGTTCCGTGAGCACTATCTCAGACAGTCTAAGAAAGTCAGGGGAGCCGTGGACAAGTGGCTTAACACCTGCGGCGAGACCACCGCGCCGCCGCCTCAAGATGTAGACGACGAGACCCTCACGTTTGCCATTCTCACGAACATGGACCCTGAGGATCAGCCGTATTTTAACGCGATTCTGGCTGGCTCTAACCACCCGAAGCCGGCAACAAGGGCTCCTACACCATTGCATCGCGCCCGCCCGGATCTTCTTGTCCGAGCCGGCTTGGCTCTCCAACGTCTTTATCGACTGCAACAAGTACCTCGAGACGCAGAGGTTGCCATGTATCTCGTCAAGAACCCCCACACCCACGACCTTCTTGTCACAATGTCCGACATCAACACGCAAGAATGGGAGATTTTGACTTCTGGACGATTCGATGGCTTCCTTTGGTCTGGGGCTGATGGCGACGATACTCCCACGGCCGAATCCCGTGGTGCCACCCCTGCAAGTGGTTACTACCCCTCTCGGCCAGGGACCATGAGCCCCAGTGTGCGAGGAACTCCGGGCTTCTCAGCATCCCGCAACACTACACCATTCTCTGCCTACTCACGCGGCGCTACCCCCGCGTCCTTTGTGAGCAATGCATCATCCGCGGCGGCCAACAAGCAGGCAGTATCACGAGACGAGGAGATGGAGATGGCTGTCTTGGCAGAGGTAGAGCGAGAAATCTACCAGGGTATGGAGGCGTTGGAGGATGCGTTCGAAGCCCTTCACCTCAGGGCCGAAGTTGTCCGGACGGGGTTGCGCAACCGCGGAGCAGGATTGATGCATAGCCTTCAAAGCCGCCGGCGGATCGATGTCCTGCCCAATCCGAGCTCCGGTAACTCGCAGTCATCAGGCTACGAGCGGCCCAGCTGGGCGCAAGGCGACTATGACGCCAACAGCGACAGCGAATGGGGAGGCGACGACTTTGAGCTGGCGCCCGACGATTCGGCGAGTAACATTAGCAGTTCACGCCATCGACGACCCAAGAGACGCACAGAGCGACGGACACCGGCACCGATTGAGGAAGATGACGAGGAAAACTGAACTCTACGATAAATGGAAAAATAATGAAATGCTTTTTGTTTTTTGATTCAATTGTTTTGTTTCCATGGTGGTTTTGCTGTCAGTGAGCTAGAAGCTTGTTCACGAAAAGGGGTTCTGTCTGAAAGATGAAACGAAATGATGTCAGAGTCACGAAAGTTTTATGGTTGTTTTTGAAAATACCAAGGTGGAATTATGCGATGAAAGCTGTAGTGTTGGCCTGCCATTCGAGTTGGGACGAATGTTGATGCGATGACCAACGGAATAGGGGGCGGGCCAAATGGTTTTGTCGAAGGGTGGAAGGAAGTATGGATGAGGAAACGTTGGCATCTAAGTCCTTCCTTTCTCTGACGAATGCATCCCCGGAAGGATGGATACCATGTTCCCAAACGCAGCAATCATCATCGCCAGCGCCAGAGGTCTACTTGAAGTTGCTCATTTTGGTCGATCACGGGGAGGTTGTCCGCCTGTTGCGAGAGCGCGCGAAATTGGCATGCGTCTCCATGGACTGTTCAATATTTTTTCCCCCCCAGCTTGCATTGTCATGGAGTCTTGGGTTTATTTTTTCACCGCTGTCATACGGCGAGAGGTCACGCTTGGTTCTTACCTCAAAGTTACCTCTACTCAAATTCAAATGTTTCTCAAGGCTCATGCTGTCTTGTTGATATGCGCGATCATACTTGCTTGTGTCCATTATTTGTGATGTATGTGCCGTCTTCTCTGCGAGTGAAACCTATGAAGCAGGTACTCGCTGCCGAGACGGTCCGATCCTCGTCGTCGTCCTCGGTCTTGTTGGCTTTGGTTACGCCGTCGACCAGTCACTCCATTGATTTACTATCCTAGGGGAAGTAGGAGAAGATACGAACCATGTAATGAATCGCTGTATTTATGTACCGAAAAAGTAGAGATGCGTACGAGTCTATCTATTTCGCTGGATGTAGCTCCACCACTGTTAACCGGGAACCTCTCCTCAGTCAGATCTTGTTGATCACCCAAAGAGATGATCGCGATAGTTCGCCCTCTCATGTAAGTAGGTACTCTCCAAATGCGCTCCATGCTTCACATCCATTCCGCTGCCAAAACACTCCTCCCTTAACACCACGTTATCTCCGCCAGCGTGTCCAATCTCGAATCAAAGAAGCTGTCCATCCACTTCCATTCTATCGCCCTGGGGAGCCCCCAGAACCTGACCAAGATTCCGGGTACCTCGCTTCAGAGCCTCGGTGTTCCTGCCCGCGGCCTCGAATCTTTCAATTCCTTATTGGCTCTCTTCGCATTCGACTCGAGCGTTCTCTTGTCCTTCTTGGTCGACTTTTGCATGGCATTGACGGCCCGGGCGAGGGGGAAGAGCACGTCCTGGAGATGTGTACAGAGGGCCTGGTTATCGTTGCGGAGCTGGGCCATCGCTAAGTTTTGTTTCTTGAGGAAATCTGTGTGTGCCTCCAGTCTCATGGCGAGTTTGTCGATATTGTTGGCCTGGTCTCTAGCAGTGCGCTCAAGGTTGTCGAGTCTCTGTGTTTGGGCGAGGAGCTGACCGCCTTGGTCTTGAAGTTCAATAGTATGGTTGCCCGAGAGAGCAGCCAGCTTCTTGATCTTGTGAAGGCCTCGTCGTAGGTCCTTCGCAGAAATTCGCTTCCCTCTTATAGAGGAGGACGGTGAAGGGCTCTGGGGCTTATTGGACAAGAGTCTGACGTCTTGATTGATCGATGTAGTTGACTTCGTCTCGTTCGTCAGCTGTTTGGCAGGCTTGGCGACGCCGTCGATTTCTGAAGCCTGTTCACTTTCGGCATCGGGCATGCTTTGGAGATGACAACCGGCCGACGACTTTCCGTTCTGACTGGCAATGACACTGGATGGATTTGGTGACTGAAAAGTGGCTGGTAGCGGCAAAGCCTTCTCGGGACTGCTGGTCGCAACTTCCGCAGAAGATGAAGCCTGCCAGGCAAATTGGTCGGAGGGCTGAGCATCCTCAGTTTCGTGATCCTCGAGCAAGGAGATCGCGGTGTCAAAGGAAGATCCTCTTTTTTGCTGCTTGTCATCAGCCAGAACCACCTCCGCATTGTTATCCGACTTGGATTCCAATTTCTCAGAGGAACGCTTCAAACTGGGCGACACTCTGGCAAGCTGCTTCTTCTTCTTCTTCTTCTTCTTCTCAAAGTGTGGCAATGTCGGATTGCAGCATTTGGTCGCGTCCCAGCCAGCAATCTCGAGCATGGTGACGATATCCTGCGGTAGGCTGAGACTGTTGATAAGTCGGATCGACTCCATCAACGGCGCCGAAGGGGGCCGTTGCTCGTACTTGGTTGCCTTCCAGTCCTTTATGAAGTCGCCATACGCTCTCTGCTCACTGAGTGCCTTTGGCTTCTTCATATCCGAGTCCCAAAGGACAGCGGAAATGTGAGTGTCGACAACCTTACTTGAGGCTGGGTAGCGTTCATAGCTGGGATCTTTCTGGCGCCTGGCCCATCTCTTCCAACCATCGAACCTCTCACCCTTGTATGGCTTCGCCGGCATAATGGCGGACTTCAGGGAAGACTTCGCTTCCTCCTGAGTAGGAACTTGTGCCGGAGGGTGCTGCGGTAAAGCTGCAGTCGCCCGAGGCGAGTCGTTGGTGTTGACGCTCTTGCTTGGTTTGGCTGTCACTTGGCCAACAGAAGCGGATTGGGAAGGGACAATCGGCTGCGGCGTTCCTTTTCCAGCGGCTGCCCCGGGTGAGATTGCCTGTAATTGAGCAGTTGCGAAGAACGAAGTTGAAGGCGAAGATAGCGCAGCCAGGGGAGGTGCGGTCAATTTCGTCTGCAGCGTCACCGGTTTGGCTTGGCTCTGTTGGGAAGGCATTCCTGCGGGCTTTGATGTGTTCATGTAGAGCTGCGGCAGATGGTTTGGGGATTGGCAAGTCGCCAAGTTCGAAGGCTGAGTAAAGGCAGAAGGAGGAGGTGCGGAATCTGAGGAGGGAGGAGCGGTTTCCGGATGAGCCTGCCTTTCAAAAGCTTTTAGGTAAGACCAATTTCGAATCAAAGCGATTGGAAGCTTCTCGCTTCAGAACGGCAAGAAGCTGGGCAGGATCTGGGGACTCTTCGGCCTGAAGTCAGCCCGCAAAAACTCGATTCCTGATATCAGGGAAACAGGATGTAGCCGTGTGAAGCCGTGAGTTGCGAGCAACCAAGGCGTAAATCGTGTTTTCCACCAGAAATTGTGCTTCTCGTGTAGGTGGCAAATATCCAGGTTTCAAGAGAAAGAATAACTGTAAATCGCTAGGTAGATAAAGACACTGGCCTTGCCGAGTGTGTTGAATGTGTTGATGCTGAGGAGTATAAGTTGGTGAGTGGATGAGAAAAAAGTTGTGTTTATATGTCTTTTCGCCCGTACTCCCTTCCTTCAGATATGTTCGGAAGGAGTTGTCGTCGAATACCTGCCTAGGTCGCGATTGACAATGTCTTATCTTATCGTCGCCAATTCCCACTAGGCAGTGATGATTATGCAAGAACCAATGATTAAATAGAAAGAAGCTAGTGGCGCCGAGAAGAGAGAGGTATAGCGAAGAGGATAGTGATATGGTAGGGTTACTACCAGATCAGCGAGCGAGGAGAATGTTGAGTGACTGCTTGGACAAGTACAGGAGTTTCTTATACTTTGAAAACCAGAGGACTCCGAGGTCGACAGCCCAATCTCTCGCCTAATAGAATCACTGTGGATTGAGATTGTTAAAAGGGTGACATTTACTAACACGAGCAGGACTCTTCAGCTTCATTCGATATCTATGCATCTAGAGAGTGGCCACACAGGTTCACCATGACTGACATTATATAGAATGTTAGGTCGAACGACAGTGCCAAGAGAAAAAGGAGCAAGATTCATCGGTGTTTGCTTGGCATATTTTTGCATGTTCGTCAGTGATATCCAACATCTTTCCCGACCCCCCTGACTTAACTCGAGCTGTTCACCAACCACCTACATCCCGTTTTCCTCCTGGGTAGTGTCACCTCGAAGTCTACTACTTTCAAAGGGCCAAATAATTAGATGAACCTTTGATCACTTAGGTTATGGATAATAAGAGTCTCCCTACATCTAGTAACTCACACCCCAAACTCTCCCTTCATGATCGTCCCCAACCATTACCTCCAACACATGCGACCACACCCACTGGAGAATTCGGGATCCCGTCCGCTCTCCCATAGACAAGCCAGTGAGGGCCAGAGTAGTAGTCAGGTCGGTGACGACTGGCGAATGCCTGGTGTTGCATGTATTTTTGCGTTTTTTCCTCACTTGGTCGGTGATTATGCTGTCCTAAGCCGACGACGCAACAGGTTGAGCTGGTTGATGTCCACACAAACAAGTAAACCACGTATCTTTTGCGCGGTGGGCAGTTATTCACATGCCCCTATCAGTTGTATGACAGCCTAGCTACTTCGCAGCAGAAAGCGACAGTCCTAGACGGGATGTAAGGCTAGACAGACACGGACATAGCCTGGCTACCAAAAGAGCAAGATATTTTGATCCACATGGGTAAGCCGCCGTCTTCTCTATCGTGTCACTAGCCCTCCAACATACAAGCCATGTGCATCTTAGTATCATTGGCTTGGCCCAATCCGTCGAGGCAACGGGGCGGCATTGGAAGGAAGGGATTCCAAACCAGGATGTGACATGGAACTTCTGAGCAGTTATAAATAATCCTTCAAACAACGAAACGAAGGACCAAGAAGTGTTGAAATGATTTTTGTATTGTTGGAGGGTTTTGGGGGAATTTTTAACTACTTACGACCTGGGGCATCATGAGCTATACATCCACACAACACGCGGGCCTCCCGTACGATGCTATGCCTGCCGCCGGTTCAAAATAAAAAGACGGCCACGACGACGACAATCGGAACATCCTCTGTGACGCCCATTGAAAATCCGAGCAGAAACAACAACAAGTCCCGTCTTCCCCCCTTCCTACTCCCTCCTCCACAACTGCCGACGACAGGGGAGGCTGTGTTTTTTGCGGGGGACCACTCAGTCTTTCCATACACCTCCCTCTCATATCCAGCTGGCCTCCGGCCATCGTTTGCACGCTCTAATGCTCTTGAAGATCTTCTTCCTTTTGGACCTCTTGTAATCTTTTAGGAATGGGGTAATCGTAAATCTTTGCCTCGTCAGTCTTTCCTGCAGCCGCTCGTCCACATCGACAGTTGGCAGCTTCGAGCCTTGTCCACCGACTTTGCATTGCGGCGGTGGCTCTTCGGATCATCTCGCGTCTCCCTCATAAGTTCTGAGCTGGGGCGGTCAGAGATCACTATACTCTTGACACGATCCTCACAGCGGGATGAGGGGCCCGGCTCGGTCATCGATGAAATCTCCGGTGGGGCTCTTAGCTAGCACCACCGTTGACAGGGGCGGCACCTTGCTGCTGAGCAAGAGCCAGTTGGGCAGCCTGGGCATTCTCGGTTGCCTTTTGCATGACGCCCTGCAGGGCGGCCTGGTCCTCAGCGGTGAGATGTGACGCAAGGGACTGGTAGAATTGAGGTTGCTCCTCTTCCATCTCTGCTCAGGGGTTAGCCTCTGTTCAAGAAAAACGGCAAAGTCTGGAACTTACTCATCAAAGTCGCACTGAAAAGTTGGTAGGGGTCCACCTTGTCCAGGGGAGACTCAAGCAGAACGCTGTCCTCTCCAAGGTCGTCCTCGGACTCAATGTCGTCAACGCCCCGGCTGAACTTTTGCGCCTCCTCGTTCAAGAACTCGAGGTACGCGGTGCTCTCATCGCGGCCTTCGTTGGTCTCCTCCTCCTCGGGCTCGTCCTCGACGTTCCAGTTGGCCTCATCCTCAGCCCACTCATCCTCTTCGCCATAGTCGTACGTGCCTGCGTCAAGGTGGTAGTCGTCCCGAAGTGCCTCCTCGCGGTTCTTCATAGCGGCAGGCAACGTCTTGAACAACTCAGTTACGCCCTGCAGCAAGCGAGGCCATCCGACGGCAATGCTCTGAGGGACCTGGTCGGCCTTAAGGCTGAGCAAAGCCGCAATTGCGACGATGCAAAGCTTCTTGTCGTGCACCCGGGTGAAGTTGGACATGCTGCCAAACCACAAGCTGAAGAATCGGTTCGTCCAGCCCTTGGTCTCGAGGATGTGCAGAGTGAGAATGGGGTTGTAGTGGATAGAGTTGATGACCAGCTCCATAAGGTGGATCTTGTAAGCCTTGACCTTGACATCCTGAGCAGTGAGGACGGTCATGGCGAACTCGATGAAACGCAAGACGTAGTTGTCAATGTTGCCACGGAGGTTCAGCATCATAGCCTCAGCCAACTTGCAAGCACAAATTCTGTCGACGCCTCCAACCTTGTTGTCGTTGAACATATCTTGAATCATGGAGAAGAGAGCCTCAATGTACTCGGGCTTCTGCACCAGCTGGCCAGCACCGTACTGGACAAAGTTGTCCAGAGCAGGCAGCATGTCCTCAAGGTAGAGCTCGGCGCCAGCCTTGAAGGTGGCGTGAATGAGCTCGAAAGCCTGCCACATGGTGGGGGAGATGCCCTTGGCAGCAAATGTGCAGCTGTCAATGATCTCGAAGACTTCGTTGTACAGGTCGTACAGCTTGTTCTCAAGAGTGACTTGAATAACAGGCATAAGGACAGCCTCAATGTGAAGCAGAACGTCGGGAGTGCTCTCGAGGGTAAGAATGAGAGTACCGATGGTTTGAAGGACACCGAGAGCAGTGATGCTCTTCTCGTCGAGGTAGTCGCCAAACTCATCCTCACCGTTGTCCTTGTTCTTGTCCAGGACCTCACGGACGATGCGGAGGTAGGTGTCTCTCAACTGCTCGCTGAGAGCAACAGCGAATGGCGTCAGCTCGGTGGCAAAGACCTCGACGAAATCCTCCATAACGTTGGCAAGGGCATCGATATCGGCCTCGTTGGCGAGCTTGAGCAGCTGCTGCATGATGGTAGGGATGCTCTGCTGCATGCTGGTGCGAATGATGTCATGTCTAATAAGAGGCTGCAGGGCGAGTGCGGCAGTGACACGTACAGGCAGCGCGACGTCTGCCATGCAGTCGAGGATGTGACGGTAGATGGTGAGGAGGTTGTTCTGGTCCTGGAAGTTGAGCTGCTCGA